GCCTGGGGCTGTGCCAGAGCTCCTGAGCTCTGCTCCCGTTTCCTCCCCCTCACCCGGCTCATTCCTGCCATTTTCCACCCTGTTCTGCTGGCAGACCCGTAGTTCTGTGCTCATGGCCCAAGGGACAAGAGCAGGCTCAGCTCCCGTTTTCACGCGTGAAATGTTATTTCCGAGCTGAGGTGCGCTCCCCGCAGCGGACCCGCGTCCTCAGCTCTGCGAGACGGGAGACCCTTCTATAGCGAAACTCTTAATTTATGTACACTAACAACGAGGATTCTCCGTGGACTGACCACCTCACCTCGATGATAAATTCACACCTTATTAATGCACAGTTAATGCTGGCGAGTTACCGTGAAAACTAGTATGAAACAGAGTACTGAGAGACACGCAGATGCTCACGGTACCCTCCACGTTGGAGGACATAAATTCCAATCTTTCCCGCGTTTTATCAGGAATGGATGACAAGGCTGGGCTGCGCAAGGGGCGAGGGAAAGGGGGGTCTCCAGTGCCTCCCGGCGAGGGGTCCCGGCCGCGGGGAGGGCAAGAGGGCGCAACGTCGCCATGGTAGCGGGATGCGGGGAGGGCGGGGGGGATGCTGCGCTCCCGCAATCCTAGTCTCCTGCCGGGCGCGCCCCTTCGCCCGGGCCCCGAGCGGCGCCGCCGCGGTACCTGCTGCAGGCGGAGCAGCGCGGCGAGCGCAGGCGGCAGGTGCAGGAAGCAGTCGCGGGTCCTGCTCAGCACGACGGTGGCGGCGGCGGCTCCGCCGGGGTCGCCACAGCCCCACATGGCCACGGCCCCGGCCCTGCTGCCCGCTGCGCCCGGCACGGACCCGCCCACCGGGGGGCATCCCCCGCCGCTCCCGGGCGGTGGTACAGCCCACCGCCGGCCAATGAGAGCGCGGCACACTCCGCTGCCCGCCTGTGATTGGCTCTTCCCCTCAGCCCTGAGGACGCCGGCGATGCCGGTGCCGGCGGCAGCCAATGAAGGCCGTGAGTGCGCGGGGCGCGGGGGTTGATGGGAAGATGGCGGCAGGTGGCGACGGCCCGGGCGCTCCGTGCCGGCACCACGCGCAGCTGGGCGCGTGCGAGTCGCGCGCCAAGTACCGCGAGGGGCGGCGGCCGCGCGCCGTGAAGGTGCCGGGGGAGGGGCGGGGGAGGCACGGTCGGGACGGGACGGAACGGGACGGGAGGAGAGGGGAAGGGAAGGGAGGCGAGGCTGTGGGCCTCGCCTGCTGCACCGCAGGAGCTCCTCGTTACCGCGGCAGAACTGCCGGGTTTGCGGCTCACGCGTGCAGTCGGCGCACAGCGAGATGTGGCGGCACCTCCTGGGGCTGCCGTGAGGAAGGACGATAGATAGCATCGCTAAGGTTAGAAAAGACCTGTCAGATCGTCAGGTCTGGTGCCCACCTGGCTAACATCCTCCTGTCAGGGAGTTGTAAAGAGCACTAAAGTCAATCCTGAGCCTCCTTTTCTGCAGGCTAAACACCCCCAGTGTCAATATCCTTCTTGGAGTGAGGGGCCCTGAATGAGAAAACAAGGTTTGAGATGCGGCCTCATCAGTGCCAAAACAATGGTTACTGCCTGCGCACGCATATAAGGCACGTCTTTTTCTCAAACACGGCCCTCCTGGAAGCTTTCAAACCCTCCATGTTTCAGGAAATCTCAGAGCCATTCCTTTACTCTTCCAAGAATATGCCATTGGCCGAGGACACAAACCCTTGGGTATCCACACAAGGACAAAGGCCACCATAGGCATCCAGCGATCTCTGGGCACTGGAGGATACACATTGGAGAAACAGTATGGACGTCCTAGGTGTGAAAAAAACCTTACTCAAATCTCCTCTCCCTAGACATGAGATCAATCATATTTCAATCTATTTGTTCTCAGAATGCAGGTAGGGAGTATGCTGCTGTCACAAGAACAACTTAGGCAGCTTGTCTGTGGAGACTGGTTTTTATGGTGGCAATTTGAGAGCTGATTTCCCAAGCGACAAAAACGCCTGTCTTTTGCAACACAGCAAGAATGTGAATGTTTTTGAATGCTCTTTGATTCTGTTTTTTTTTTTCAGGTTTACACTATCAACTTGGAATCTCGCTATTTACTGATACAAGGAGTTCCTGCATTAGGTGTTATGAAGGAATTAGTTGAACAATTTGCATTATATGGTGCCATTGAGGAGTATCATGCTCTAGACGAATATCCAGCAGAGCAATTTACTGAAGTGTATCTTTTAAAATTCCAAAAACTGCACTGTGCAAGGTATTGGATGGGGCAATATCTGCCTCTTGCTGCCTTACTCTTTTATACCTTCTGTAGTTACAATGTGTTAAAATTCTACAGAGTTGAAGTAAAATCCTCAGTTTTGCCAATACAATTTAATTCCTTTCAGGGTGGCCAAGAAAAAAATGGATGAACGAAGTTTCTTTGGTAGTTTACTGCACGTGTGCTACGCTCCAGAATTTGAAACGGTCCAAGAAACGAGAGAGAAGTTGCAGGATAGAAGGAAGTATATAGCAAAAGCAACAAATCAAAGAGGTTTGTGATTACATTTCTTATAGAATCTTAACATCTTTCTTCAGGGGTGGGTGGGGTTTTGGTTAAAGAGCCTGTTAAAGAAAACACTTTTTATCTAGCTCTTAAAGATGTATTTTAAGCATGTTTGCAGTATAATGGAGACATCTCTCAGTATTTAGAGAACTGTTTCAGTTAAGACTAAAATACAGAAATGCTTAAGCTTTAACATCAAAACAACTTTTTTTCCAACTTGCTAGACAGCCTGTTCTTGAAATCGTAACTGGAGATAAAAATCACCAATTTGCTATGTTAGGAATATTTTCCTTCTCAAAACTGTGGAAATACTTCTGCTCAGGCATTCCTCGTAAACTAGCAGAGGAACTAGGCTGGAAAACTAGTTAGAAAGGTAACACTTAAAAATCACAGAAAAGTGCCTGGGAATGGAATATCACTGTATTACTTCTGCAGTTGTATGAAATGTTTCTTAGTTTTAGCACTAATAATAAAATGAAATAGTGAAGCTTGTTTGTTTGTTTGTTTTAAAGATTGCTGTGTGTTAAAGAAAGTTGAGGGCCCTAAGAAGACAGTCTCAAAGAACTCTGAGCGTGACTGCCCATGGAGTACATCAGGATCACATGCAGCCAGTAACTGGGATCCATCCTCCTTTACAAGTTTTCATGGGGTATCCCACAACACAGGGCATCCATCTGGGAATCATAATCAGAGCCTGTTAACATCTCCACACTGCGATAATAATTGTGCTGAAACTTCCGGGTACTTTGGCCAAAACACATCCCTAACTCCCAGTGTTCATCCAGGAGGATGTACTCCACCAGCTTCCTTAATGCAGCAAAGAATGGTTCCAACATATAGTGGAATTGACAGGTTTATGCCTCGTACAACTCACTTGCAAGAACGTAAGAGGAAGAGAGAAGAAGGTAACAGGTTCCTCCTTGGAACAAGTGCGGACAATACTGAAGTCATTATTGGTCCACAACTGCCAGAGATACCTAAAGTGGATATGGATGATGAGTCATTGAATACATCAGCTACATTAATTCGAAATAAACTGAAAGAGGTATGGGTTCTTAAAGTTCTGATAGTTTCAAACATATGTGCTTGTTAGCCATAAAAACAGCAACGCTCAGGTAACTTAATTCCACATTCACTCAGTATTACCAGTTTCTTTGCCAGTTAAAGCTAGCGTTCTTGCTATTTAGCATTTCCATAATCTAGAGTACTGCAGGCAATTCTACTCCATACCTCTTACACTACCCTTAAGAAAGTATAAATGTCTGTGCACAGTCCTAAATGATTTTCAGTTAACCACTTTTTTTTTGCCAACATGTGCATGATAACTGTGCAGGTAGTTCTGCTGAATCCAGCATGGTACTCATATCTGGTTTCTGATTGAAAGGGAGTGAAAAATAACGGGAGAAGCAGTTCAATGTAATTTTGCCTCAGCGCTTCCTATGCCATTAAAAGCTGTACAGAAACATTAATCTATGCTGAGAAGCATGAATTAATCTATATAACCATTTATGGAGGGTATTAATCAATTAGCAGGTCAGACATTCCTGATAAAACTTCCCATTTACATTAAGATATGAAAAAGCTCCCTTGAGTATAATTGGCTAGACTGATTTGAAAGGGCTTATATCTCCAGTCACATTTATAAATAAGCACCACTAGTATTAAATACATTTCTAAAGTATGTGTCAAAATGCACATTTTTGCTTTCCCTTCCTTTCCTGAAATGCCTGAGTTTAAAAGCACACTCAGCCTTACTTTGAAAACATCTCTGGTAGGAAGAAGGGAGATGAGATACTCAACGCTCTATCACTGAGTATCTGAAATCAGTTTCTGTGGTTAAATACAAAAATGGTACTGCTGACTCTTCTAAGTTTAACCTCTGTTGTGTTTAATGCTGCCTTTGGTGTTATTTTTTTTTCTCTACTCAGCAGGAAAATTCAATTCAAGTGTGATTATAGTAATACATCCTTCCCAACACTCAAATGTTGGAGAAGTGGCCTTACTCTGAAATGAGGATAAAAAGGTAGTGGTTACAGGTTACTAATTTTTTTTTTCCTATTTAGGTAGCAGATTCTGTTTCAACAACATCTGTGGAAAAGCCAGAGAATAGATCAGCCAAACCACTTGTAAAGCAGAGAAGAAGAATATAGACACTGCTGGCAGCATCTTCCAAACAGTCCTTTTATAAAGGATATAATTTAAAATATTTATTTTTCATGTAAAAAGTGAAAATTTTTTTTAGACTGTATTTCCAAGGGATTCTGTTAAAAATTGTATCAATTTGTTTCTTGGAATGAACAAACCACTGTAATATATTATTGTTGCAATGTTGTCTTGTGTACCTTATGGTTTAATGTATTTTCTAACATTGAAGACATTTATTTAGGTAGAGTCACGGAAGTAAATTCTATTTATGCTGTAAATTTTACAGTAAAGGAATACTGGAACAGTAGTTTCAAGTTGCTCCCATTTTTACTATATCATGAAGAATGGTGAAGAAAAACACCCTTTACAACAGTATTCAACAATGGAGTTCCAGTTAACCTGTGTCCGGGAAAACTTTCTCTTCAAATGCAATCCTGCTCTGTTTAAAAAGAAAAAAAAAAAAAGAGAGAGAAAAGTTAATTTTCAGTTAAAAAGAATTATATTTATTGACAAAATGTACTGGACTGAAATGTGTATGCAAGGAATAGAATACCTCTTGCTTTTTAGCCTAGAAAAGGTAAATCCATAGCCCTAATGGTGTCATCGCTGGGAGACCAGTCAGAACATTTGAAGTTATAGTGGAAGGGGAAATTCGAATTGTAGGTGCTCAGCAGTAGGAATGTGTGACCAAGGAATGACCTAGCATGGAGGGCAAGAAGACCCAGTTGCAGAATGAGGTAAATGGGCTGGAAGCAGGAATGCCGGAGGCTGGGATGTCAAGGTAAAGGAGTGAAATTTCCCTTAGTGATGAGAATAATATCTGAGAGTAATATCTGCAGCATTGTGTTGCAACAACCCTGGAGTGGGAGTGCTCAGGGGTCACCTTTGGGCACCAGAACTGGCACTGGGGAGATGAATCCAACACCAGGCTATGATGTCCCATGCTGACATTCACAGGATTGGTGCAAGTGTAGGTAAGGAATTGGCTTGTGCCACATCTTTGCGGGCTCCTTACGGAACCTGTCAAATTGTATTTGTCAAATACACTGTTCGTTACATTTTAAAAAAATATATTTAAGTACAAATGAGTGTTTCATTTGGGGTAGAATTAAAATTAAAATAGCCCCAGTGGGAAATCTAGTAAATTATGGGTTTTCTTCATGTAAAGCTCATAGCTGAAATTTATTTATTACTTTTAGGGCTTGAAAGGACATGTAAATATTGTTCTCTTTTAAAAGTGAAACTAAAGACCTAGGGGAAAGGCAGCAGTTGGGTAGGATAAAGAACAGAAGGCGCAAATACTATAAGCAAGAAACAAGCCAAGTTTTCCACTTCTTGCCAAGATTAGCCTGAACTGTGAACCTGCTTTATACCAACACTGACAGAAGTAATTTTTCCATGCTGATTAATGAAAGTGATTTTGTTCAGAAACTTTTTAAAACCTTTTCACTGGTGTTAAAAACCAGAGTACTTACTTTGGTTTTCCCAAACCCTTTAAAGTCTTTTGACAACCTGCCAGGAGAAATCTGGCATTTTGGGAACAGCTGCTGTGCAGCTGACATGATGTAACGTAGCTTGCCATTGTGGCAATAAGACTCTTTCTTCCTGTCCTCCAGCCTACAAGTGGGTGAGCTGACAGGAAGTGTAGGATTCCAGCAAAGGAAAACTTGCCATGTTCTCAGCAGTCTTAGACAATTCTTCTGTTTCTAGGAATCACTGTGCATATTTCAAATTTTATTTTGCCATCTCTATGAAGCTACAACTTTCAGTATTTAAGTCACATACAGTTCAAATAGAATGACAATTACTGGATTACAATTTAACACTAAGGAAATGAGCATGGTGTAAATTACCATCCCCCCCGCCCCCCCCCCAAAAAAATTGAATTAGACATATTGCTGATAAACAAAGCCTCGTTAGATGAAATTACAAGGCAGCAGTGCCACACTCTGAGAGGAAGACCTGTCAAGGCGGGTGGGTTTTTTTCCAGAAAGTTACCAGACTCTCCCAAATGAAGCTGTGAGATGACAGTTAATGCCATAACACATCTTCTTACCAACAGAACAGAAAATATTGCACCTTCTCTTTTTAAACACAAAGTTGAGGTACCTTTATGTCTGGCAAACATGGTCCAAAGGCTTCTAAGAGAAGGTTTTCATCTTTGACTGCTTGTTCAAAGTCCGCAAAAGAAAGCTTGCCATCGTGATCATAGTCCTATAAAAGGAAGGGAACACTTAAGCCAAGGGTTATTACTGATAGTAATTGTATTTTTGTTTACAGATGTTTTATTGACATGGATTCTGTTTTTAGTTTGGTTGCACGCAAAATCATTTTTTGTGGTCATGAGTCTCTGCTCAGACAAGCTCTGTGTCACTTGCCTCTACCTAAAGCAAAAGGAGTGGGTTTGAAAAATAAAAAAGACAGAGTTAAAAGGACTTGGGATTCAAGACCTGGTTTTAAGTGAAATTTTTTGACCACCAACCACCATAGAAGCGGAGATTTATATCTTGATTTGATTAAAACATTGAAAGACAGTCCCTAGCTAATCTGAATATCCTTGATTAAGCATGGTAAGACAAGCTTTACATTAATAACCTTGAGTGTACTGTTCTAATAGAATATATAAATTGGATAAAGACGTTTCATGAGCAATTGATAAAACACAAATGTACTTAATAATAAAGCTAATGCAGATGCCTAACACTGGAGTAAATGCAGCTTACACTTTTGAGTTTTCCACTTCTGACTGGGCTTTTGTTTTGATTGGGCATGCACAGCTGTGTATGCACATATTCACATGCTAGTTTATACATAAAGTTTATAGTACCTTCACATAGTAAATTAAGTTTCATGTGAGGATACTGGACTGGAGTTCACCAGATGTGGATTATATTTCTGGCTTTCCTTAAGAGAATTTCAAAATCCCACTGTAAATCACACACTATACTTTGTTACCTCATAGGAAGGTTCTAAGCTTCAGTTAATGAATGTTTGAAAGATATTCAGATACCACAATGAGTAAGTACTTGCCATTTTCTTCAGTACTATCTCTACCAAGTCCTTAATTGCCTCATCAGGGTCTTCATCTGCTGGTTGTTTGATAACAGTGTCCTTCAGCATTTGAAACATTTCCTCTCTCGAAATGTATCCATCACCATTCAGGTCATAAACCGCAAAACAGTCTTTTGAATACAAATAAATTTCAAGTAAATTAAAAACAATAATCACATATCATTAAAGCTATCTGTTACCTATAGAGAGAAAATGTGAATTGTACCTTGTACAGCATATCTATTGAGCTACATTTATTATATATTTATATATGTATCACATTTTAATATATGTATTAGTCAATTAGTACCTATTTTCCCTTTATAGTTAAAAATTATTTATTTCTGCTCAAATATTATTCAGTTCATAGAAAGCATACTTACAGATCTTAACTTCTCTTAAATTGTCTATTTAAAATATAAATAAGGTTCTGGCTTAGAAGCCAAATTTCCCATAGTGGGGACATGATATCTCTACCAAAAGGACTTTGCACCTACAAAAGACCATCCTCATTTTTTCAGTGCTGGGTTAGAAAAGTAAAGGAAGAAGGAGCTGTACTGACCATGCAAAGAGAAAATCCCTTAAACAAAAGTATTTTGGGTATCTGCATAATTCCTCTTCTAATTGTTTCTACCTTCCTGGAATCAGAAATCTATGGTCATAATAAACATAGCTATTCTTCACAAAACTTATTAACCAAACAAACAAAAGTCTTCAGTTAGGAACGTAGGAGGTTTTTTTTTTCTCCTGTCAAAGACAGGCTATGTCTACAATGAAAACCACTCCTGGCATACACTTGTGACAGACAACATTGTGTATCACTACACACTACTGCTTGTAGTGGTACTGACACATATTCATTGTCCTGGGCACACATTCCAGTGCTACGGCATCCCAGGCCACTTTCCAGATGAATTTATATAGTTCATTAGGGATGGCTGATGCTGCAGCCTGGGAACTATGGTTGCATACATAGTTCATGTTGTCATGAAAACAACATCCTTTTTCTTATTACCTTTTTTTTCCCCATGTGCCCTATTTCTTTTTCTCTGCTTCTTAAAAATTTAGAATTCTTGCAACTTTTTCTCCTCCATCCTTCTCTGTCATGGAGGTTCTCACGACCATAGTCTTACAGACTCAGTTTTTCCTTCTATGCTTCCAAGCTGAAGAACTGACAGAGTTAATGCATCTGCTGCTGTGTCCCCACTGTGCCAGTAAATGAATGTTGGCACTGGTCTTGGTTAGCTTGACACTGTGCTATTTAGCCAAAATCACCCTAGAGATATATCTGCTTCTTTCTATTTCTGTGTGTGAATACAAAAACATATATTTTGTCAAAACTGTATACTGTAGAATAAGCTTCGATTCCAATGCAAGTTTTTGTAAGCAACAAAATAAGATGGCAGCTAAAACAGTAGTTTACACAGAAAAAAACTCTGTGTCAGAGAAGCAATTTCAGGACTCAGTTTCATTGCATTAAACTATACAGAAGAAAACTTTTCAATTATCAAATACTTTATGAGAGTAACTACTGAATTACAACAAAAGCAATGTGTTATTTGTCATGAATTCAGTGACTACCAGTAAATATTAGCACAAAGATCAATCTTACATTTAATCTTCTCTTCCAGTGTCCCCCGAAGTAATATTGCTAAGCCTTCCACCCACTCCACCACAGTGATGCAGCCATTGTTGTCTCTATCAAAAGTGCTGAACACTGGGAAGTGTATTAGATACATTGTAAATATAAATAATTATAATAGAGAAACAAAAAAAAGGATTATTTTCTTGAATTCGTTGAAATTATAAACCTGTATTTCTTTGTGAAAATGTTTGCCTGTTTTCATCAAGATGTGATTACCCTTCTTGAATCTAAGATGTACAATGAAAGGGATTTTGCCCCTCAGTTTATTAATTTTCCACTCTAGAATCCTGCTGGGTAAGACAATTTGTTTGATCTGTTGCCTGACTTAGACAACTGCAGGAAGTATGCTTCCATGCAGATGTGAACCAAATAAACCAATATCCCTTACAATAACGCATGTTTCCATACAGAAGATTTTAATTACTAGGTTTTGTCTCAGAAAATCCTGGAGAGAGCAATCCTAGAAACAACATATAAATATGTTAAATATACAAAGAAAAATAACCTCCTGTCATGTACCAAAATGTTTTTTTTTCTCCCTTCCCTGAGCAACTTTCAATTTTCACAGAATCACAGAATATGCCAAGTTGGAAGGGACCCACAAGGATCATCAAGTCCAATTCCCGGCCTTGCACAGGACCATCCCCAAGAGTCACACCATGTCCCTGAGAGCATCATCCAAACGCTTCTTGAACGCTGTCAGGCTTGGTGCTGTGAGCACTTCCCTGGGGAGCCTATTCCAGTGCCCAACAACACTCTGGGTGAAGAACCTCTTTCTAATATCCAACTTAAACCTCCCCTGACACAACTTCAGGCCATTCCCTTGGGTCCTCTCACTGGTCACCACAGAGAAGAGATCAGTGCCTGTCCCTTCTCTTCCCCTCACAAGGAAGTTGTAACTGCAGTGAAGTCTCCCCTCAGTCCCCTCCAGGCTGCAGCTTTACTATTCATACAGCCTGTAATACAGTACTAAAGTACTTCAAATCTAAGATACAATTCAAAGCATCGACTAACATCTGTAATAATTCATATTTTAGAATGTTAATTAGTAGGTTGACTGAAGGAATACCTCTAATTGCAGAGCCAAGCATTTGGAATTGGAAAACAACAGGTTTGCTTCTGCAAACTGAAATCAGCGCCTTTGTATGTAAGCACTACTTTTTAAGAATGTACACATGTAAGGTATCTTCTAAGATACACCCGACTTACTGCATAAAATGGCAAGTTTTTATTTTATGTCATGTAAGTACTTCTGCTAGAAGAAAAGTTGAACCAAGGGGTGGCTCTTGGCAGCCCAAGAATGAAAGAATGGCAGATTGATGCCTGCTCTGCATCTTCCTGTAGACATCTCTACATCAGAGATCATTCGTGCAACTTTCACAGTAACTGCAGATTTGGCCCTCATGTTATGAATCTGTGAAAACACGGTATTTTCAAGGGGTTACTTGGCTCATTACTCTTACCTCCCTGTACTCTCTGCCCAATGCCTTCAGTGCTGTTCACAGTGCCTCTAACACAGAAGTCATCCACTCTTAACAGAATGCCTTTCTGGGACCTCCAGGCCCGAGCTAGAGCTGTCCACCAGCAGCAGCGACTGCAGCTCCGTGTGGAACCACGGGAGAACAGGCATGTGACACGATGCTGCCCTCTTCGATGGCTGCGATAGAAACAGCTCCAAGGCAGCACTACAACTGCCTCTGCCTGGTCTCCCTGGAACTAGAACGTGAGCTACTCTGAACTCCGGAAAAACTATTCTGCATAAAGAAAGAGAAGATGCGATTTTCCCAAGAGCTCCTGAGCATAACTCCTCTTTCCTGTCCTCGTGGGGAATGAGATGGCATTATTTTGTCTAGGCACACTCATCAGGGCAGCATCGTGAAACCAACGCCATCTCGTTTTCAGAGGTCTCCGCCTCACCTCGGTCCAGGACCACGTCGTCCGTCATGCCAAAGGCGGCGAACAGGGTGTCTCTGAACACGGTGCGGTTGAAGCCGGACACAGCGTACTGGCTGCAGGACCTCTCCACCAGCACGTCGAAGAGCTTGATCAGGCATTCCGCTTCGCCTTCGCTAACTGCCCGGCCCAAACACAACCAAACACAGGTTATAAGTTACGCTGGTAGAACACAGGGCAGGCACCGCGGAGGGCTTGGGCACCTGCGGCGCTGACCATGACACCGGTGACCCGGCCCCCCGCCCCGCAACCCCCGTTCCTGAGGCGGCGGCGGGAAATGCGATGCCCCCTCCTCTCCCCACAGGGCGAGCACAGGGGCAAGAGGAGGCGGCGGGGCGGCTCTAGCGGGGCTCCTGCAGCCCGGCAGACACTCACAGTGCTTGGTGGATCGGCTCAGCGACTCCGCCAGCAGCTGCAGCCTCTTCCTGCTCATGGCGGGGGAGCCGCTCCTGCCGCCGCCGCTGCCCTGGCAACGCGGGCGGGCAGCGCGGCCTGATGGGGCCGCAGGGGCCGGGAGTACACAAACACGCAGGCGAAACAAAGATCAAGTCTTACCGCGCATTTAAAAAACAGCAGCCGTAGAAAGTAAATAACTGCGTTTCAAACCTGTAAAAAAATGTTTCTGGAAAGAAGAGCTAAATATTAAATACTGTATACAATACTGCTCGTTCATCGGCTGGCAGAAGGCAGAAAACTATTAAAACACTTTTATTCCCGCATTGCCCGTTTTCTGCTTTGTCTCTCTGCTGAAACTTGGAACGTGGCTGTAGGTGCCACCCGAGACCCACAGCACCGTCTCACATACTCACGTGTGCATATCGGCAAAGCTAAAGGGCTGAGACCAGACTTAAACTTCCCTTCAGGAAAAAGAGGATGCAGAATGAGATGTAACTTATTTCTTAACATATTGCAAACTGAAGCATTTTCCTGTCAGTACCAAAGCAGCTTTGCTGGGAGCGGACAAAGCCCGTAAGCCCCTTATGCAGCTACATAAGCATGACAGCAGCACTTGAAGCCCACAACTAGACAGAACACATAGTTATACTGAGACAATTAAAATGACAGCCAGCTTAGGTATTTGGAAGACTGGGTCTCATTTCCATTTTTATTTCTTTCTGTGGCAGGTGGTTGTGTAAAAGTCAAATAAGGTATCACAGAGGACAGAGTTTTTTTATACTATTTATACTATGGTTCATTACAAGTTCTTCTACGAAAACCGCACCACCACAATTTAAAAAGAAACCAACCCCAACAAAGCTAAACACAGACCCTCAAATCAAACCCCTACTGTTCACTGCATCTTGCCTTTATTTTAACCTCACTGACAAAACAGTGTCTAGAATTGGTAACATCAAGCCAACCACTATAAAATATTTGATAAAAATATTACTATCATTTAGAGGGACATTGCTGCAATTCAATGGTTGTATTTTCCCAAGAACTTCAAGTCAATTTCTCGGTACAAAGGCAATACGAAATCATCTTGCTCTCATAGTTTTTAGTTATGGTTTGCAGACTAATAATCAATGTCTTAAAGCTCTTGAAATTCTTGGCAATACAATATTTGAAACATCTGTATGCAATAGAGGTAAGTTCTAAGTTAGCACCTGTGCAATGAAAAAAGGGGTGGATCAAGAATACAATTTATAGTTGACTGACTGGGATGGAGGGGCAGTTGTTAAAGGCTAACAGAAGGCCCAGTAATCAGTATTTCAATGGAAGATATAGTGAGAATTTCATGTAAACTTAAATTGAATAGTTGCTTGTGTGTTCTTGTGTGCACATTTAATTTAAAAAAGCTTTTTTTCCAATATGTAAAGCAACTAAATTGAAGTAAATCAGCTTTATGACTTACATTAACATTCTGTAGCCCTCAAGTACAAAAATATAAATACAAACTGTTTAAACAGTATCTTTAATGAGATTCTGGCAGTAGTTTTTTTATCTAACAAGACACGTCACGTAACAGATCTGCCACTGAACTTGCTTAGAGTAAAATCAGCTTCAATATGAAGCTGTTAAGGTATCAAAACCCTGCTTTTTACATGCTAAATATCTTCAGCAAGTGTGCACTTAAACACAGCAATGAACTTTAACTAAATACATACATGAAACTCTGCATGTGGAACATAATTCATAAAACTGGTCACAACAAATAATTACCTGCATTTTGTTAATTTAAAAATGGTACAAATCATGCAAAACAATTCTAAAGGTAATGCAAAGAAAGCTACAAGTGTTTGCAAGAAGTTTTCAATTAAACCAAAATGACATTAAATGAAATATGCATATTTACTAGCAAAGGTCTATCGCTATTTCAAAGAAGCAGAGGTAAAATACTCAGTTTTGACTGTCAGTTATACTGCAAAATGTCATTGCTCTTGCTTAATGCAGAAGCACATGCTTGGAAGCTCAGAACTGCTTATTCAGAAAAAGTCTGCTGTCTCTGACAATAGCTCTAGCTTCCCAGGAATCAGAAATGCTGCATGGATTAAAGTAGCGGAGATTTGCAAGAATCAAAGGCAAAGGCACCCTATTCAGTCAGCCAAAATGGTAGCATTCCCTTTCTCATAAGCATGAAGACGGTTAGGGGCCAGATGATGCACATTTCTACACAGGCAGCCTTTTAAATGTTATTAATTTTCCATTAGCAGACACCAGCTTGCAATAGTTTATGTATAGGATTAACCTGCAGGATGAACTTGGGATTTAATTTGTCCTGATTTACAAATAAAGACTATTACTAATGCTTTAAAAGACTACTTTTACTATCTAAAAAGTTTAACTCTTATTTTCCAATATTTTACACTCCAGCTGGCCTACCATCTCACATTGTTTCAAACATCCATCACTGCTTACTGGAATTTTCTAAAAGTTGCACCTCATGTATTAAGCAGCAGGCAATAACAATGGTCTGTCCCAGCCTAGCACAGCTGTATCTGGCTGGCTATTGAAAGATTAGGAATATTTCTAAAACACAGGAAAACTCATGCAGTTTGGTAAAGTTTGCTGTCATTTCACAGTTTTTCTTTAGTCATTACACTTCTGTTGATAGTCTTGGGTTTTTTCAAATATTATTCTGAATCCGAATTCGAACCAGCAATCTTCTTTTTCTTCTTTTTACCATGTTTCTTGTGCTTCTTTCTCTTTTTTGTTTTATCCTACAAAAAATTAAATAAAAGTTATTGTATAATACGATTTCCATCTATTACATTCTGCTAAGGCAAAATGAGAGCACAGAAAGGATAACTTTGCAAAGACATTTCAAAAGAGATTTCTACAGAAGCCCATTGAGAAATAACAAAAAAACCCCAAGCCGTACTTCACCCAGCAATTTGCACTATTATAAGCAGTCTTCAATTTATCTCCACCATGATATGGCTATTTCACACTTCTCATCAGTCTCACCATTACATTTCCTAATCTTTTAAATGATTTTCAGTGCTTTACAGATTACTGAGAAAGTAATATGGAAGTGCTTTGACTACCCATGACATCTTATATATGTGGGAATAACTAGGATGTTTACAGATTTCAAAAGTAAAGCACTTAAATTCACTGTGCAAAATGAACTAGTTCAACTGCACTTGGCTAGCATCTCTAGTACTTGTACTTTGTTTAAAAAAAAAAAAAATTATGATCTCAATTGTAAATATAAATACACTCAAATTAACCCTACTGAATTCAGTACTGAAGCTAATATGCTGATCCACTGTAATTCAGAAGCTGAGAGGTACAATCTTGTCTTTTTGCAAGCAGAATTTCAACAGGAATTCTCACACAGGTGTGATATTACATAAATTAAAGAACCAGTATAAAATACACACAATTTTATACATATTCCTTACACATACCCATCTTCTACAAAAAAAACCTCACAATCAATCACTGGAAATCTTACGGCAAACAGTTTATACGATTCTGAAAAAACAAATATATTTTTTCATAAAAAAATGTGTACTGAGTATCACTGATACTCCTATGCTTGTATTTTTAGGTGACTGATGCAAACCTTCCCTTCGCTCTAACCTATCTAGACAACTGAGATGCCTAATTAGGAACACTGCTGCTGACAGGGGAGAGATTATACAGACAACTCAACTAGGCATTTAGGATTTTAAAACCACTATGCTCCTAAATGAGGAGCCTCAGGTACACGTGATAAATTTGGGTTCTATATAAATCACTGCTGAACTCTCCTTTCACTTTTATCATCAAAAACAAATGAACAAAACTGATTAAAGTAACAGGTTGCTGGCAGCTTTTTGGATGCGGGTAAAATTATAATGGTGCAGACGTAGCAGCAATTATGTCCTAAGGCCCTTTTCATTGTGGAAGAGAGGAATTATACACAGTGCTAACAAAGGAACAGCAGTGATGTCTGCCTGTGTGGCAAACTGCTACCCTACCCGGTACTCCACAGGTACTAGTAGTTTGAGTAGGTTGATACAGAGTACAATTCTATCGTTAAGTGTTAAATATATAAATCTCAAATCATATTGAGGTAAAATAGTGACAAATTCTTCTTTAATTCAACAGCTGAAAAAAAGTGACTTCAACAGGTAAACGGAGAAACTTTTAATTTAGATTCATGTGACAGCAGACTATTGCTATAAAACATCTGTAATAGCGAAAAATGTGACACTGGAAATTAACCAAGAACAGAGTGTTTATATCCTGAAACTACAGTATGACTAAGAGGGATACTTGCTGTTTTCTCCTTTTCCTCACTGTTTTTCTTCTTTTTTGCTTGCACCTAAAGAAAAATTACACCAAATGTAATATCCATAAAAGTTGTATATTTTCAAGAAAATTAATTCAAAATAACTTGTTGGTGATAGAGGCTGGACTAAACAATTCTTACTAAAATTTTTTATTAAAGATAGTAATACCAAAAACCTTGAATGTGATGCAGTCTTAAATTCCCCCATAGAGAGCAGAATAGTTTCAACAATATATTCAATCTAAGCTAGTTCATTCATTTACTCAGGTGAATCAGTAAGTTACTATAATATCTGAAATTGAGGTTTCACTGACCTCCTCAGTCTGATCTGATTCAGATACAGATTCTGATGATAAAGGTCCATCACCACGATCTGCTTTCTTCCTTTTCCTGTGATTTTTACCTTCCTACACAAAAGTAATATATTTGTGAGTAAAGTCAGGCCTTTCAAATTTCATAAAAATTATGCTTAAAATTTAATATTGAAATAACACTTCTAATTTGTGAAGTATTTTAAAATATTGTTGACATTAAACTAACTACTCATCATCAACAAATTACCCCACCAAACTGTTAAAATGCTTTTAGTGAAAATAATAATGTTATGTATATTCCTTTTTCTTGTTACCAAGATATAGCAACTTTCTATAAGTGAGACAAATAATAGTCTCTTATTTTAAATAATAATACATGGAGTAAGTATTTGAAAATAAGACATTTCCCCACTTTTAAAGAATGTATAACTGAAGATGTCTCAATAT